GAAGAAAAAAAAAGAAATCAGCTTTCTAGTGTCTAGTAAAGAAGAAGGTATCTTAGTCATTGTTCTATTGCTGTGAAGAGACACTATGATCAAGACAACTCTTATAAGAGAAAGCATTTAATTGGGGGGCTTGCTTACATTTTCAGAGGTTTAGCTCATTATCATCATGGCAGGGAGCATGGAAGCATGTGGGCAGGCCTGGTGCTGGAGACGTAGTTGAGAGCCACATGCTAAGGGGGGGGGGGGCAGGTGACACTGAGCCTGGCTTGGCCTTTTGAAACTTCAAAGCCCACCTCCAGTGACACTTCCTCTAACAAGGCCACACCTCCTAATCCTTCTTAAATAGTGCTACTCCCTGCTGACTAACATTTAAATACATGAACCTATGGGGGCCATTCTTGTTTGGTTCACCACAGAAGGCTATAGGGATTTTGTTTGGAATTATATCTTTAGATCAATCTGAGGCAAAAGGTATAAGAAGACCTTGGGTGCAAAACACTGGCAACAACTATGCTTAAGCTGTTTGTTGGAAGAAGTGAGTGAACTGTCTCCATGTGTTCTGTAGTTATGGTGGTTTATAGAATTGTTGAAGCCTTCTAGATCTTTACTGATTTTTTTCTCATTTTTTTTTAGAAAAGTAGTTAAATATTTCTAGTTATGACTAGATTTATCTATGATTTTTCCTTTACTTCTGTTCATTTTGTTTGGAGCTACCATAATGGGGTACATATACCTTTATAATGGCTATAACTTGTTGGTCTATTGACCCTTTTGTTGTGGGATATTTGACTGCACAGTGATGCTCCAAGACTGTTAATGAAGTTAAATAATTGAAGTTGAATCAAGGGTGGAGTCCACAACTACCTAACCAGAATTAGCCTTAGAGATTTTGGCTGGCTTAGATAGAGAGGCACAGGAAGAGATAGGGGGAAATTTGGAGAGATTTGCAGCCTTTTCAATCTCGGAAGTTGGAGAAAGAAGGTCAGCTAGTCGTTCCTCTGTTACTTTCTTGATCTATCAGGTTTGTACTCCATTGTTTAACTCCTAAATTTTTATTAATAATAGAACAATTTAGGTAAACACTTTACTCTTTTATTACTATGAAATATTCTTCCAGTCTAGGAGTAATTTTTATGTAAACTTTTGCTTGATATTAATATAAGTCCATTTTTGTCATACTTTTCTCATGGTATCTTTTTCCTTCCTGCCCATCTCTCTCTCCTACTCCTCTTTCTTCCCTTCAACGAATCCCTTTCTTTTTCCTTTTTTGGAAAGACTGGACTTCACTAAGTGGCCCAGACTGGTCTTAAGTGATCTTCCTAGTTTCGTCTCTCAAATAGCTGGGACTCTAGGTATCAAAGGACTAAGATGGCCTAGTCCTTTTACTTTTCAATATATTTCTGGCTTTTCATTTAAGGTGAGTCTATTGGGACTGGATTGTTGCTTAGAGAAAGATAGCAATCTCCATATGTGTGAAGGTGTAGGTTCAATTCCTGGCGTTACCCAAATCATATTTAAAAGAAATAATGATAGTACTAGTAAAAATCTCTTGGAGCAATGTTGACATATTTTATTAGAGTAGAAGGACCGTGGCTGTTGTTATTAGGAAACCTGAGTAAAAGTGTATGAAAGCTATTCTATTTCTTGTCTTTATGACTTTAATATTATTTTTAAAAGTTTAATAATTTCTTGTTACTATTTTTTTTATTCTTTGTGTCTTCTACATTCTTCATTTCCATCACATTTATTTCCCTGTCCCTTCATATCCACCCTCTGCCCTTGCAACCTTACCCCCAAAATAAAATAAACTAATATCTAAGAGAAAAAAAATAAAGAAAAAGAAAATTGAATATTGTCATGCAAGCTGCAGTGTGACACAATGAATCACACAGTAAACTCTTTTATCCATATATCTTTACTTGCAAGTATTCATTGCAAAGAGTCATTGGTCTGGTTCGAGGCCTTTGGTTTCTGCTACGCTATCGATGCTGGGTCCTTACTGGAACTCTTCTCGGTTATCCTGTTGTTACCCTGTGTTGTGGAGATCCTGCAGCCTTGGGTCTGCAGGTCTGGTCTCTTCACGTGCTCCAGTAGATCTCAGATGGACGGATGTTGGTGTGGGTCAATTTATAACCCTGGTTCTGGGTAGTTGCAGGGTTGGTCAGCCCATTAGCTCTCCCTTATCCTCACCACTAGGGTGGGCTCTGCAGCACTGCCCTGGTTAGTTCACCTCTTGCAGTGATTAGCAAGGGGTAGGGCCAGTTCTCCCTCTTTCACGTCCTCAGGGTTGGTTCTCACACCTACCCCTTCAGAGCCAGCTCTACTGTGTTACCTAAGCGTGGCATAGGAGCCATTCTCCTGAGTGTTACAGTTGATGAGGGGCAGGGACAGTTCTGCTGCTCTTTATTTTATTTTTTTTTATTTTTTGGTTTTTCGAGACAGGGTTTCTCTGTGGCTTTGGAGCCTGTCCTGGAACTAGCTCTTGTAGACCAGGCTGGTCTTGAACTCAGAGATCCGCCTGCCTCTGCCTCCCAAGTGCTGGGATTAAAGGCATGCACCACCACCACCCAGCAACTGCTCTTATGACCTAAGGGTCAGCTTTCCTACCTACCTCAGGCGTTGATGGGCAGGGTTGGGGTGGACTGTGGGAGGGCAGCTCTCACAACTTTGGGGCTGGCTCAACCACATCTCCACCAACAGGTTTATTGTGTTGTCCAGGTGAGGTGCAGGGCCTGCTTTCCCAGGTGTTGCAGTTGGTAGGGAACACGGACAGCTCATACACTCTTATGATCTCAGGGCCAGCTTTCCCACCTACCTCAGGTAATGATGAGGGCATCTCACCCCCATAAGCTGCCACACGACAGATGAGTAATGGGGACATCTCTCCCATGCTCACTACTTTGTGGCTGGCTCTATTGTGCCACCCAGGCAAGGTGCAGTGCCTGTTCTCCCAAGTATTTTGTTGCTGTATTTTTATGGTAACTTCCTTAAAATTCTTGTGACACCAATATCTGGGTTATTTTTTGTGTCATCTGTTGATTGTTGCCATTTAACCAAGTTAAGATTTGTCTTGATTTCTGGTGAATTGCCACGAGCCACAGAATTACTCAGTAATTAATCAGCCTCCTTTCACAAGGTCAACCCATCAAAGCCAAGGGCTCTGAAGGTTAGGCCAAGATGCAAGGCGTGTTGGAATTATCATCTTGTGAATAAAGAGCCTGTTTCTTGCTATAGGTTTCTCACTTTAGCTTAATTCCTTTTGTTACAAATTCGGAATTTATCTCCCACAGTTCAGCCCTATTTGATCATTTACTGGGCACAATTTCTCCATTGCATTTGGGGTTTGCTGATTATATCCCCTAGCTATGTGTGAAAACAGTCACACAATCAAGAAACCTGCTTCCCACTACCAGGTCTCTGTTCTTTTCTTCAGTGTAAATTTAGAGATTATCTTTATTGGCAGGCATTTGGTCAGTGTTTATGGTCCAGGCAAAAGTATTCCATTTAAGACATTCCCAGATATTCAAGGACATAGAATTACCAAATGCCCCAAACTGTTAATTCCTAGCTGCTCAGAGAGAAAAAATAAGCGTGCCCTGATTTTACCTCATTTGTAGATAAGAAAGCAATGAAACTAGATAAGAAATAATAAAACTAACCTTGCATTAAAAGATTCCTAACTCCTCACACTCACCTTCACCTCAGTTTATTGATGACTTTAGTTCAGATTTGCTGCTTGTGTCTTATTCTTGGGAAAAATAATTAACCATCTCCCCACAGCCTGGAGAAAGACAAACCTCCACTGGTGCCTCTGATAGACATCAAGCCCCAGATCTGATCATTTAAAGGCTTGGGTCTCCTCTTTGTTTCAGCTGCTTAGAGTAAATGCGGTGAACTTCAGATCTAAAAGGCCTTTGAGCTTGCTAACATTTGACAAAAGTGCTAGTGGACCAAGGGCTGCCTAGTTACTCAATGCCTGCAAGATTTTGTGGGTCTTTATAACTGGGTAAGAACAAAAAGAACAGAACATAAGTTGGAGCAGGAGTTGGAACAGAAGCATCCCAGAAATTAGAGATATGAAGAAGAAAAGAAGAAGAAAGGAGGAGGAAGAAGAGAAAGAAGAATGTAGCAGATAATTGGAATTAGAATTGAGACAGAATTAGAGCTAAGAAATTACAGACAGTTAGGACAGAAGAACTAGAATAGAGAACAAGGAAGAGAGCAATAAAGAGACATGGCTAGAAAGAATATGTTGTGAGGAGTTTGTTTGTTTTTAACCCCCAGATTTTAGTCCTTTCACTTACTGTAGTGTCTTTCTTTTGAACCCTGAGAGGAAACTCTAGAGGCCAGACCTTTAAAGATTTTGATAATGAATATACTCATTTTGAGTTGTATCTTGAACACTTGTATATTATGAAACTCTGGCTCCTACTTAAATCTTTTTTATTCATTGCAGCTTGGGGGAAGAGTGGAAATTCTGTTTGCTGATATTCACTTTGTATGTAGCAGGAATGGCCAACAGGGAGACTCATAGTCTCTGCAGATTCTAGTGGGAAAGGGAGGAGTCACCACCTCTGCTCTCATGGGTTCAGGTGCTGGGAGTTAACAAGGCTTTCCCCTACAATTCATACAGTATTTAGCTGGAATGGTAACCGTTTTTAGGATGACTGTCTTTAGTCGTGTGATTAGAGAAATGGAGTTTTCCTCAGCTGTTTGTTGTTCTACACTGTTGGCAGTTCCCAATTATATGGCACTGTAGCACTTAGTAGAAAACAGAGGTTACCAAACATCTCCAAGAATTCAATACTGCCTCATCTCTTGACATATGTTTTCAGCCTGAGTTTTCTGGGAGGTGCCTTTGTCTTTGGTCCAGGCTTTTTGTTGTGATTAGAGGAGGCTTCTATCATCTTGTTTGGAACCACCATCTCTTGTTGGATAGTAGTTTCTGTATTTCAAATACAGAATACTGATTAACTTGTCCTGCTTATTTTGTTTTTCAGACAAATGAAGAGAAAACAATGTCTGCCAACCTAAAGTATCTTTCCTTGGGAATTTTGGTGTTTCAGACTACCAGTTTGGTTCTAACAATGCGTTATTCTAGGACTTTAAAAGAGGAGGGTCCTCGTTACCTGTCGTCTACAGCAGTGGTTGTGGCTGAACTTTTGAAGATAATGGCCTGCATATTTTTAGTCTACAAAGACAGTAGTATGTATCTAGGGTGGTTTTTTTTTCTTTTAATTTATTAGTTTAATTTTTATATATTTGTGAATATATTTGTAACTGCACATTTGATCTCTTGCATTATTTAATTTCTCCAGACATTATTTAAATTCTCGGGGCTGGAGAGATGGCTCAGAGGTTAAGAGCATTGCCTGCTCTTCCAAAGGTCCTGAGTTCAATTCCCAGCAACCACATGGTGGCTCACAACCATCTGTAATGAGGTCTGGTGCCCTCTTCTGACCTGCAGTCATACACACAGACAGAATATTGTATACATAATAAATAAATAAATATT